CAAGTGAACCACAGGCAGCTGACTCACATTCGAAGAGGACCTCACTGTTTCCCGGTTTATTTCTGGGCCTTTTAGAAGCAAATTAGAACACCCCACCAAATACCTATTTGCGCAAACACTAATTTCAAGAGTATTTAAATGTCTTCTCATTTTGCTTTTGCTTATCACATCAAGCAGAGCCACCTTCCACTGTGTATTCAGAATAATGAATCAACATGGGTGCTTCTAAAGGAGTCAGGCATCACGAAACTGAAAAAGAAAGAAAGGAAAAAAGAGTCATTTGGCAGACGTCAGATGCATTCAGTTCTACATCCACCATCCCGTGGTCTTCCTGCATCATCTTGCTGCCTGTGCATCAGTGCTTGCAGCTACAAGGGTCAGGAGAGGCCTCCAGCTTACATCTAACCCACAGGCTTGAACTGCACTGGATCTACCCAGCAGCTGCATGAGCCATTTCTTGATAGAAATCCCTTCCTTTATGCATACACATGCAGGTGTCACTGGGCATCCTTCTCTAGGAAATGCAGCCTAACACAGTCACCATGACTTTGACTGACTCAGCGGTACCTAACAACAATAGCTAAGTGCCTGACACATGATAATATCATAATATCATTTTCATTTCTCTTTTTATATGGCCTGAACACTTTATTAGAGTTTGCCTAAAAGGAATCAATTGGTGAAGATTTTGAAAACTGATGCACCTTGAAGGGTATATCTTTTCTCCGTGGTTGTATATGTACTTAGCAAACTAATCTAGCTTGCAATTAAATATGTCACCAGGATAATAAATAGATGATGCTTTGGTTTTGCAGTGTTTAGATAGCTGTGAATTATTAGTTCATGCACCAGTGTTGAGAAAAATGGAAGCAGTTGAAACACGAAAATGTCTCCAAATCTCTTTTGGTTCAAGTTACATATCCCTACTACTAAAAGTAATAATTTATTCTGAATTCTCTCAAACCTGAAAATAGAAAATCTATTTCTGTTGTTATTTGTTGTAGCTATTTTTGTTCCCTGTGGGTTAAACTTTCTAGCAAATGTTTTAAACTAATGCTTTTCTCTCAACATTATCTTCAGGACTCCCTACCCGTTAGTGAACATCAATGCCCCTCTCTTCTGCATTCACCCAGCTGTTGGGGCCATCGAATGCTGCCAACTTTCAAGCCTCCCTGGAGAAAGCATCTCAGCTCCAGGGTGGGTGGGGGAGGGAAGGGGTGCACAGCTACATTCCAACTGAGGCAGAGATCATGTGGACCTGGCATCCATTCCAAGGTATTTTTTTCTCACAAGTAATCGTTGAATTGCTTTCTGTTTCTGAAAATCAGGCTTTGTGATAAATACATAAAGGAAAAGGAATGCTTAGCCTAAAAGACACAAGAGAGGGTAGCTGGAATGGTTGCTATGTGCACTGAAAGATGCATATGCGTGTGTGTGCACGCAGGCGCGCGCGCGCGCGCACACACACACAGAGAGATAAATTAAAAAAGAATACAGCAACCCCTTGCTTAGCTTAGCAGTCTAGACAGACCCCTAGATGAGGAAGTGCTGCTTTATTCTCAGTGGAAGCCTTTTCTTGTTCACTGTCTTTCAGGGTAAAATCTAGGGGAAATTCACCTGTCCGATGCAAAGTTAAACTGCTGGCTTTCATGTGACTGCATGGGAACTTGGGTTTATTAATGAATACAACACACTCTCTTTGATTTGAAAGCTTTCACTCTGTTGAAAAGATTCAAAAGGCATCGCTTCCTGCACCAGCGGCATTCCTTTATCCATCTCAGTGGTTCACCCCTACCCAGCTGCTGTATCTCATTAACAAGCATTTGACCACTGCAGCAGCTCGGGAGTGTTGACACTTGAAAGGCCCGGGCGGGCGTGGGCAGGCCATCAGCTTTGGCAACAGGAAACTGCCCCGAGACAACACTGAGAAAACAGCAGCTGCGAAAGCCAAAGTCAGAGCAGACATAAAGGGCTGCTGGTATCCTTGCTGGTCTAGGATATCAGTGCATGCCTGTGGGCCGGAGTTCACTCATCTGTTTACGGTAGTTATGGAATATGACGGCTGCACTTGACATGGATCAGACTCTGCATTTGTTGACACTCCAGAACTATTTTTTGACTCAGAGTGTTCTCTATTCTTAGGTTTTAAAAATCTTCCTCTTACTGTTTCTTCATTCTAATAAAGACAACATTGACATTATCAGTTTTCTGAAAGTGATACTTGAATTATCTAACAGCATTTTTTATAGTTTTTACTGAAACAATCATAATTTTATAATATCTCTCTCATAAGAAGAACTCAAAGTATGGATGATTAATTAAGCTATTTCATGCAATGTTTGGGAGAAGTATTTTCTGAATGTTTTTTGTCCATATTCAAGCTTACTAAAGCATTTTTTAAGAGGGTAGGTAAGCATAAGCAATAGTCCAAAAAATAAATTCATAAAAAAATGGCCCTTTACAAAATAAACAAACGAGATATCATTCCATTAGTTGTAAGAGAAGAAAAAGACATAGTTGAAAAACAAATCAACCAAAAATAAATGTGATGGGCCATAAGTGAAGTTAGTTAATGATGCCATTCCTATTATCATCACGATAATAGACAATAATAATTATCATGTATATATGTACGCTAATATTTATTCTTTTTACTAATTTATATTTAAGTATATTTGTCTATCATTCATAATATAAGCTATGTCAACTCATTCACACTGCTACTCTAAAGCTATCATTTGATTAAAAAACACAAGTTTCTTTAAAATTATTGCTTCTTTAAAATTTTTAATGTTAACTTAAAAAAATGAAGAAAATATTTCTTAAGTGTAGCAAATTTTCCAATTCTGCCTGAATTTTTCTTTCCCTTTTTAAGTCTTAGGTAGAGAAGAGTGTTCCAACAACCCCTGGAAATTTATCTCCTTGACAAAGTGGCTGAGTCACAAACATCCTTCTGATTGGTCATTAAGATGGTTCCATTTAACAACTTTTTCAATTCAAATCATATTGGTTCACATTCATACTTCTTTCCTCACCTTTTAAATTTGGTCTGTACAAGGGGGCTTCAAGAAATTTGTGAAAATTTTTGAGCTAAAAGATAATGGGATAATGCATTTGTTTCACCAATAGATTTTGACCAATATGATACTGCTCTTGTTCCCAGCCGAAGGCGTAAGAAGCCATATATGCCTCTGCAATTGTCTTGGAACTGTTTCCACCATGAGGATAAATCTAGACAATATTGTTAGTTACCATAGGTCGAAACATTGAGTTACCTACTTATAGCCATTCTGGACTACCTACCCCCAGGTAGCCCACGACTGATCACAAATGCATGAACAAATCTTAAGTAGATCAGCAAAACTAGACACCAAGCAGCAGAGCTACTATCTAAACCATAGCTTCATAGCTAACTCATACACAAGATCATCTAGCTAGTCTTTGGCAGAGGTCTGATTTGAGTCCAACATTCTGTCTTGGTCCATACTCTTATTATTATAACATAAATCTTGACTTGTTAGGTGCCTCCAGTTGTCCCTCTACTCCTTGCTACCGTGTGAAACTGAACAAAATGTTATACAGTCTTGTGCCATCTATGTAATTGGTTATGAATTAGACTTTCGCAATTTACAGGATTTTTGTTACCCCATTATCAAAAGGACGTCACAGGTCTTTCTTTCTGGTCCGTCTTGGCCTAATTTTTCATCAGCATATGTGCCTCCTTTGAAAGAGTGGTGTTAGTGGTGCCTGAAATACATTGGTCAGAAACGGAACCTGTGTTCTCCACATGGAAGGAGAGAATTCCACCACTGAAGGAGTCATCATGGCTTTGAGGCCCCCTTTCACAGTGGCCATTGAGCTGTTTCTATTTCATGGTGACAGAACAGAGCTTTGCTTCATATGATTTTCAAAGCTACGAGCTTTTATAAGCAGATCACCAAGACTTTCTTCCATGGTCTCTCTGGATGGGTTTGAGTTGCTAGCTTTTCAGTTAGCTTAATCATTTACAACCTAGGGATGCCAGTCCCATGTCAAACTCAAAATCTAATAGGGAAAATAACTAAATCTAGTGCCCCCTAGTGGTACTAGTGGGTAAATGTCGAACAGCTTCACAGCAGTTCAACGGCAAAGTCCTTGATTCTGAAAGGCCTGCTCCTGTCGAGATTTACCGTCTTAGAAACTCTATATAGGATTGCCGTGAGTGGAAATAGACTTGATGGTGCTTGGTATTATATATAAATGAAATATATTGTGATGGTTGTTTTAATACCCAAATACATTTTGGGGTAATGCTCCCAAAAGGAAATAATTAATTTTGTCTGATGTTTAGAGGGCAGGAAAAATTAGGTGATTGAAGTCAATGTTACACTGGAATCACCACCAGAGCTAAATTTAGATGGAAACAGAGAAGAAAGACGTTGGAGGAAGAAATAATAACAAAATAGCCTGTTTGGAAAAACCAAGAAAACAATGTTACTGAAGCATGAAATGTGAAATGGGTAAACATCAGATTTAAATGAGGTGACACCTAAATCCAAAGAAGCACACAAGCCTTTGTGGTCCAAGGACTGTAAATAATAAGATCCAAAACTAGAGGAGGGAACTGTGTTAGTCCTTAAATCCCGAGCACCTGGTTTTCAGAAAGCAATAGAATACAGTGAACCTCCAAATCCATTTCAAATGCCCTGACTTCGGGAGAATGCCCTCTGATCATTGAGTAGGTGAGGAGCCTTGCTATCAGACAGAGTGCATTGGAAAGTAGATGAATGCAGATGTTAAATTAGCTTAAAATTTAACACCTTATCATTTGGTCTCCTTTGACCTATTTTAAATTAGTCCTAGTTTTCATTACTTCCTACTTTTCCATTGGGTTTTTCCTGTTTGTTTGTTTTGGTGGTGGGGGGAGTGGGAGAGGGGGGTTACATATTTTTCTTTATATGAAATCTAGGATAGATAAATCTATGGAAATTGCAATTGGATTGATATTTTATTTTCTTTTTTAAAATATGGAATGCTTCGCAAATTCAAGTGTCATCCTTGCACAGAGGCCATGCTAATCTTCTCTTATCTTCCAATTTTACTATATGTGCTGCCAAAGCGAGCACTGGATTAATACTTTCTTAACATTATGGCAGGGGAAGTTGTGGGGTGTGTGAGTGGGGAGATAATAATGAGAACAAAAATGAAGAAAACAGAAAATGCTCTAAAATTGATTGTGGTGATGATTTCATGACTCTTTAATATATTTAAAACTTTGAATTGTATGGTTTATGAATTATGTCAATAAAACTGTTAAAGAATATTAATTGTCTTGTAAATGTACTAGCTCATCTGAAGTGTGTAATTGAAGGTTGCTTACTATTGGGAAATAAGAAAGGATATGATATTTAGAGTCATAAAGTCATAGAGTATTAACTTAGAAGAAGATCTATCAGTTGAATTGAAACCATTGCTTTCAAGGTCTTGAAAGACAAGATAAGGTGTTTAACTAAGTTAGAAGTGCTTTGGAATTTCTGCCAGTTTTTGAGCAGCTTTGAGCAAGTGTTTTATAATAGTCCAGGAGAGAGAAGATTAGGGTTGGAGGTGTTTTTAATAAAAAGCAACTTAAATGATAAGAAACAATGGCTATATAGAATCTATTCAGAATAGGGGGCTCTGGGTAACAAGGATGGGTCTCCTGGACTGTGTCAGAAAGATTAGGTGGGAGATGATAGACCTCGATGAAGACAAATATCAGTAGAGTAAGTATTTAAAAGCTTTCACCTGAAGTATTTGTGTTATATTTTTAACAAATTATATATGTCAATTACTCAGCTGTTGGCCATAGACAATTTCATGTGTTAGAAGGCACTTTCTACTTTGAAACAACCCTAAGCTCCTCCTCAGTGTGTCCCTGGACAGTTTTATAGCTTTGAGTGGAATGTAGATAAACGGCTGCCTGTTTCCATTTCATGCTTTGGCTTTCCAGGTGCAAGTTGTATAGCTTCTCATCATCACTCAAATTGGAAAGCATTTTATAAGCTTTTAGCATGTCAGGCTCTGTGATTTGGATAAAATTGGGATTTTGCAGTCTGTTGCGTGACTTTACTATTTTCCTGTCCTGAGTGCAACACACACACACAGTAATGCAAAGCAAAACCAAACACATGCTGTCTTCAAAGTGTCTTCTGGGTTTTATGTGTTGTAGTTTGAATTGTGAAGGGGAAATGTTTTTGTTATGCATAAATTGTTGTGCAGATATTATCATATTTGCAAAAGTTCTTATAGTCTTATTTTTCCTGTGATTTAGGAAAGTCACAATATGTATGCCCAATGCTTTAGTAGGTGCCAGTTATCTGTTTGTGTGATAGGTATTTTTGTCCCCTCAAACTATTTTATTAGGACATTATCAAGTCATCATACAATTCAATTGGTCAGTCATATCAAGCAGTGTTGTACAATCTCTACCATAATCAATTTCGAAGCATTTTCTTTATTCTTATACTCCTAGGTATCAGCTCTCCATTTCCTTTTACCTCCCCTGTTGCACCCACCAGAAAGTCTTATTCTAATCATTGTCTGTATAGATTTACCCATCATGGTTTTCATATACTGAAATACATAAGAGAGAATCAAGAAGGCTACCAATAATAACAAAATACAACAGTGATAACCCTTAATCTGAAAAAACAGAACATATTAAAAATCAGACCAAGCAAAAAGTATATCAAAAGCCAGACAAGGTTTAAACCATTCAATTCAGATTTGTCATTTTATTCAATTACAGTCATCTCTATAATACTCTCTATTCTCATACCTGGCTATTCTCATCCCTCAATTAGGGTCAGAGGGAAATCGCTGGAGGCTTTTTCCATAGGTAAATCCTGCAAATGTAATTTGGGCTTCCATTGTTATCCATTGCCTTCTGCAAACCAGAATTTAACAATATACATTTTGGTACCATCACTTCTTTGGATTGTGTCATTAATAATCCTAGGATCAAGGTTGTTGGCGTGCTTCTTCCATTTGGGCTTAGTTGATGACTCACTTAAATGGCTACTTGTTTGAAAACAAATCTTTGAAAACCTAGATGCTATTCTTTCTGATAGTCAGACACCATTTACTTTCTTCACTGCACTTTGCTGTAACACTTCTGTGTTTCCTTCATGAGGACACATTGAACAGGGCCATGTCATAAGAATTGTTCTTAGATTGGAGCTAGGATTAAGTGTGAGCCACAATTCCATTCCTAAATCTTTTTGCTTCTGGTTCACCTTGAAGGTATCTTTATTATTTTACATTAGAGATGATCTTACTGATCATGTCTCTGGAGCAAATGGTTCTTTGTTTATAGTGTCATTGATTTAACCCAAGGGAATATAGTTAAAACACAATTGAAAAAGAGAGATTAAACAAGTGTATGCTAACTGCAAATCTCAATACATGGATTATTGATTTACACAGAATAAATTCTTACGTGACTCGATACTATTTACAGATACGGTATTCAGGCAAAGCTTGCAATAATATTCACTGACAATTTCAGGCCTTGGTCTGTCAGAATAATACATATCTTAATAAAGCAAGAAGGACATTGAAGTAGTAAGTCAACGTATGTTCGCCTACTGACAGCGCAATGCTCTGGTATAGCTGTCTTCTGCTTCTTTAGATACCTTGTATTTCTGGTTTTAAGTACTCTGGTTACAGGTGTGGTTGAGGTAGAGCCCAGTTCACCTACTGGGGTTTCCACATCACATCATTTTGTTATGGCCTTGGAAGTATGTCTGCACCTGAAAGATCCAGGGTTAAATGTTCCAGTATTCTATGGCACATGGTCTGGGTTCCCAGGGGATGTATAAGAACTCAGAATAATGTACCCTATTAGGCATATAGTACCAGGAATACTCTCTGTTTAGGCTTACAAATGAATTGTTAGTCTTTTTCCCCTCTGCTAGGAGGTTGCTCGTTCCCCTTTTTCTACCAACAGTTAGTCTGGGAACATTAGAGAAACACATGCACAGAAACTCATATGTATAAGAAAAAGTTTTATATAAAGGGTAAGTGTACATTAAGAAAGCGTCCCAACCCAGAGCTGTCAAAGCCCGTAAGTCCAGCATTAGCCCATATGTCTAACAGCGATCTACGAAATCCTTCTCAAACTCACAAAACACACACAATGATGCTGCTGCAAGAGGAAAGCCAAATCAATGAGCATGTAGGCATCTCAGTGCTGGCAGGGGTCTCCACACGGCTGCTCCAGACCCAGGGCTGTATCAGAGTAGGTCCATTTGGCTTCTCCTTAGGGATGTCTTGCAGGCAACTGCACCCTGGTCCTACGTCACAAAGCAAGAGACCCGAGAACTAGAAAGGAAGGACTCACAGAGCCATCTCTCCGCCCTTCAATTAATCCCATGTATTTATCGGCCAGGTTGGCACAATAAACCTTAACTATCTCACTCCCCTTCCCCACACTTGACTTGATTTTCCCATCAATATTACTTAAGAGTGACATATTTTAAAGCAAATCAGTGCATCAAACAAGGGTCAGCTTGACCCTAGAATAAGGTGACCAGACGTCCTGCTTTTGGCGGGACAATCCCGATTTTTAACAATTTTTCCCGTGTCCTGTGGCGTTTTAAAAGTCCTGATTTTTAGAAAGAATGCACGACAAGCTAGGGTATACAGTTTTTGACTGCCATGTGGCTATTTCTCCAGGATATGGGTTTTATCAATGGTGTCCCGCTTTACCAGTGTTAAAATCTGGTCACCTTACTAGAAGGATTAAAAAAACATATGTTATAGTGTGCTTAGTAAAGGTTTATACAGCAGTTTAGGTTCCACATTCTGTACACAAATTGTTCAGTGAATTTGGTTACATTCTTCACAATCAATGATCATTCTCATTACGTCTATTCTGGTGATTCACTAGGAGGCGTTAGCTTTTGATTGAGGCAACATGTTGCCTTGACTTCAGATGGTTCTGAATGACTCCACAACATTCTTGTTGACATTCCTGAACCTGTTGTTCTGTTTCTTACCACTGGCCCTGATTGAATGATGAGTTCCCTCGCTCATTTGAGAAGTTCCCTCAGACTTGGCCTCAAGCTGAGAAAATAGATATTTTCCACCTTTCTTTAGCTCTTCATTACCACAAAATAAACTACATATTTAATATAGATCTTTGAACAAATTTGCAAAATGAATGCATATGTTTGAATGTAAAGTTCCACCCTACTGTCCAAAAGAAATATTGTGAATGTAAAAACATATATGATATTCATAATATATCATAGACTTCTTGGAATGCAGATGTGTCCAATTTCCTAATTAAGAACAAAGAAAAATAATTCCCTGTAAGAACTTCTTAAAGCAAATTGAAATAAGCTACCTGTTTAATTATGAAATCATGTTATCACAGGGTTTTTGAACTGGATAAGAAACCTGATGCAGATGTAATAAAATCTTTTACCTTGTAACCGAGGAAGGAGATCTAGAAACCATGAAACTTGCCTATAGCCACACATTCCTGGTGGCCAATTTGGGCCCAGATCCCAGCCATTGTATTTCCTACTTCATTCTTTCTTCACGGCATGAACAGAATGGCGAGTGTCATGTAATCAGACAACCAGAACCCTGCAGAGAGCAGTTGTCTGACATTATGAGTGATGTGCGAGCCAGCTGTACGTTCTATGCTTGGTGTTCATCAGAGACACGGTTTCAAATGCTCCACCGCTTTAGCCACAGGGGCTCAATTTCTTTAGACATAGGGCACATTTTTTGATGTATAGGTCATTCAATAAGGACAAAGATGCTCTTCAGGGTCACAGACCTGGCTTCAACACCTGGAGTTTGTGCAGGTAACCTGTGAACTTTTTATCTTTATGGGTAAGGGAGCACTGAATTGTTCATTACGCAAATATTTACCTGAGTTGTCTTTTGCTGGCAGAGGAATATTTGCAGCTGTATCGCAACCATCTGTAAACATCCATGTAGTCTGAACCATCTTGCTTGAGAAGATTGTAAATTTCTGGTCCCTTCCCAGCACTGCACCAGATCACAGACCCAGATAGCATAATAGTCAACACGTGCTGCTTACTGACATTTGGCCATGTTTTCAAACCTCAAA